AAAAGAGGAATAAAAAAACATGTTTTTCGCACCCGCCAGGCTCCAAAATCTCCACCTGTCAGGCCGGGAGACTTTGGAGGTGTGAGTTACTTTAAAAAAAAAAAAAAAGAGGCACGTGAGGAGATTTGAAGACAGAAGACTTAAAATAATCGCAGGTCTAGTTTTGGAAGAATGTGTGAGGCTGAATGTAACAGAAAAAGACAAAAAGAGGAAGATTTAGGAGCGGGGAGTGTGTTTTTGTGAGTGTAAGAGGTGGTGAAAGAGGAGGGGAAAGAACTTTGCCGAGCACGAGCAAAAGCTCAAAGCTCAAAGGATTCGTTTGTGTGTGTAAACGGACGTAATTGTGTGATCACGTCCGCTTTTTGGAGCAGAAAACTAAAGGAAACTGTTCAAATACTGAAAAGGCTGCAGTCAGTCGGAGGTCAGGCTTTGGGGCACATTTAAAAACACCTTTAAAGCCTGATCCAAGAATAAAACAAAACAGAAAATGACTTTTTTTTTGTTTGAATTCCTTATTTGGCCTTTTAACAAAATATGTAAAAAGAAAAAACAGAAGTTTTTACCATTAAATGAATCAAAAGGTGTCAGACGCAAAACATTTCAGAAACCGTATGTATCAAATATGCTATATTTGGCATTACAGGGTTAAAAACACCTTTTAAGTGTCTCACAGAGATGCTTTTCCTCTTTAATGAAGTTCAACTTAAAACTGAATATGTAAAAAGTGACAGATTTTGCTGCTTAATGCAAAAATAATGGCTCATGTTGAAGCAAAAAAGGTTAAAAAATGTTGAGAAAGGATGATGACGGGACCTTGTCCCAAACTTATTTCCTCTTAGTGTGAGATTTCTCACTTTTACAGCCATTTTTGAACCATCTGGTTATATTAGGCTGCTCCAACTTCTCTTATTCTTTTCAACTTGCTCTAATGTTGCGTTTAGTTGTGGGAAATTAGGTTATTTACTTCTTTTTTTCAAAAGTTGCCTCAATTATATCGTCTCCTGTATTTATTTATGTTTTATTAGACACTCATTACAAGTTCCTGGGTGTGTGGGTCCCTTTAACGGCAATTTACAAAGTAATTGGGTAGTTTCAGTTATTAATATCATTATTATTTTATTCTCATTCTTTCTTCTCAGTTGCCTTTTGGACTCTGTCTCCATTTACACACACATTTCTGTGTTCTTGTGTTTATACACCAGTTTGTCTCATTCAGTTAGTTTTTAAAATGTGTTTTGGCAGTCTTTCTTTATTTTTTTGTTGTTTGGAATTGAAAAACTATAAAGTATTAAATAAAATGTCGGGAGAGGACCATATTTATTCTAGTTTAATTTCCTTGACCTGAGTAGAAAATTTATTAAGCGTTATTAAGCACTTTGTAAATGAGTTTTTAAAGATGCAAAAGAGATCAAGTTTGCTGTTATTGTTCTGTTGGTGGAGGTTCTTTATAATTTTATAATTTCGGTGACGTGGAAAATGGAATTAACCCTATAATGCCAAATGTATCATATCTGATTCATACGGTTTCTGAAGTCTTTTGGATCTGAGACTTTTTGCATCATTCAGTGGTAAAAGCTTTGCTCAAACCCCTGTTGGACACATTCAGATATACCTGATAACAGCCTGTAGAGGACTACACCTAAATATATTTTTGAGTTATTGCACGCTAATTTGATCAAAACAATTCATGTTTTTTTTTCTTCATATGTTGTTGAGGGGCCAAAGAAAGACTTCAGAATAAAAAAATCCAATATTCTTTCTATTTTTCTTGGATGGGGCTTTGAAGGGTTAAAAAGTTAATGAAGATGGACGACCACCTTGTCTGTGCTGATGTCCTCCGAGATGCTTTTAATGACCATCCTACCGTGTGTGGACATTCCCCCCATAGCGACTTCTGTCTGTCCACGTGTTTTCAGCCCACACACACACACACACACACACACACATACTGGTTTTTATGTGTCATGGGGATCAACTTTGTAATCATCACTTGCGGGGACCACCCTTTCTACAAGCCTTAGAGGTCTAAAAAAAATCATGCACGACAACTAAAGCTTGGTTAGCTTATACACGCCTTCAAACATCTGAAAAGGTGAAGTAATATTTTCATCATGCTATTTGGGGACTTCCGGTAAATCGAGTGGACATGCCTGATGAGGACCTCATTAACAAAAATTTGCATATTTCACACAGATTCAAATGTGATAAGTGGGGACATGACATTTGACATGCAGCTATCTATACCAAATGAATGTAAAGCTTCTTTGTTTTGTGAAAACAAACTTTCAACCAGTATTTAAAGCCCCACTATGTAGGATTAGTGGTACCGGTACTCCAACCAGTGACTTTATCATCCCCTCTGTTCCTGAACCAGCCTGCCCTCTGCTTATGACCTATCCAGTCCACTAGAATCTTCATTTGCCCCTCTTGATAACATTATTCCCACTTTCCATGTTATTCCATGTTGTAAACTGTTGTTGTCTTGTCTGTAAACAATATCTATTGCACTTCTGCCCATCCTGGGCGAGGGGTCCGTCCTTTGTTGCTTACACTGAGGTTTTCTTGGGATTTTTTTTTTCTTTTTATCAATCGATATGAGGGTCTAATGGCAGAGGATGTTGTTATGCTGTGTAAAACCTTTTGAGACATACTACTAAAATTGGACTATACAAAAAACTTGCATTGCCAAGAAAACCTTTTAATGTTTTCAAGTTTTGCATAACATGAGACAACAGAGAAGAAAAAGCAGTAGTATAGTATAGTTGTGCCAGATGTCTGTTAAGGCTCTTCCCACCGAGCTCTATCAGTGTCTCTCGGCTGTGATCTGAACACTTTTCAAGAAAGCTTAAAGAAATGTTCTTTTTAAGGCTCTTAACACAATTATAAATGCAAAAGTTGAACTCTCATTTAATAAAAAAACAGTAGAGCCATATCAATAGTGTCTGACCTGAACAATAATCAACAAAGCCTAGTCTGTTGC